AATTGTCTTTATGGATAGAGAGAAGTAAAACAAAAGAAATAAAAGGAAAGTTTTATTAGCAAGATCCCTTGAGCTGAGAATTAAGACATTAAAATATTTAAAATAAATACAAAATGCTGGCAAAGATGGTACTCTTTGGAAGGGAAGTGGGGTGGGGGGCAGGAAATTAGACAGGGAATGGAGGGGATCACTTTTCACGGTTACATTGTGTTCATATTTGTGGCCATGTTGTTGTCTAACACAAATATGGCAGGTTGAAGCCTTTGTTTTATTTCTGTTTTATCCAATGGATAAGAATCAGTGTGAATTTCACTGGCTGTCCAACATGAGCCATAGCAATGATGATGATAAGTAACATTCCTTCTTTTTGGGTTAAAGAAGGAGTCTTCAAGATGCTCCTCCTTATGATGAATTGTCAGAAGGTCAGTAGTAACCTAATGCTACATATAACGCCCATGTCATTCACCTACTGCATCTGATCACACAGGCATTTTATCAGCTCACATCATCATAAGAAGGGCGATATAGTACAATGAGATACTTGAGAGAGGCCACATTCACATAACTTTTATTACTACATTTGGTGTTATAATTCTTCTTTTTCTTTTTTTTGGAGAGAGCGGGGTGGGGGGGAGAGGGAGAGAGAGAATCTTAAGCAGGCTCCATGCTGGGTGTGGCTGCAGTGTGGCTCAATCGCACGACCTTGAGATCATGACCTGAACCGAAATCAAAAGTCGTTCACTCAACCGACTGAGCCACCAAGGGGTTCTCCTGTTATAATTCTATCTTTTTTTTTTTTTTTTAAAGATTTTATTTATTTGATAGAGACACAGCGAGAGAGGGAACACAAGCAGGGGGAGTGGGAGAGGGAGAAGCAGGCTTCCTGCTGAGCAGGGAGCCCGATGTGGGGCTCGATTCCAGGACCCTGGGATCATGACCTGAGCCGAAGGCAGATGCTTAATGACTGAGCCACCCAGGCGCCCCTGTTATAATTCTATCTTATTAGGAGTTATTGTTGTCATCCCCTTCTATGCCTCATTCATAATAGGTACATATGTATAGGACAAAACATAGCATGTATGGGGTTCAGTCATATCCGTTGGTTCAGGCATCCACTGGGAGTCTTCAAACGTACCCTTTTTTTAAAGTAAGCTCTGCATCCAGTGTGGGGCTGGAACTCACAACCCAAAGATCAAGAGTCACATGCTCCACCTACTGAGCCAGCCAGGTGCCCCTGAAACATACCCTTCATGCAGACGGGGGGACTACTGTAATAGCTAATTTGAGCATCTAGCATGTGCCAGATTCCCTGCCATTTTATATAGTACATTAATGCTTCAATTTTGTGAAGAGAGATTATTATCCCCATTTTACAGATGAGAAAATGGAGGTTCAGAGGGAGTAGAGAGTAGGTAGCCTGGTTGAAGTCCCCCAACAAGAAAGGGAGGGCGCCACTCTTGGAGCCTCAAGTTGGTCCTACCCCAGACACTAGGCTCTTAGCCCCACATAGTGCATGGGCAGCAGAAGCTTCTGAAACCCATACTCTTAGGAGCTGCTCTGGAAATGGTCACCTCCCAAGGTGGTGGGGAAAAGTTGTATTTGTTTTCCTGTGGCGGGAAATACATTCTGTTGCTAACCCTGAGGCCTATTGCTACTGAGCTTATTCTGTTTGAGTCTCACCACACACACACCTGAATCTGAGATCATTCCCTAAATGCATCTTGAATCCTGACTTTTTGCTCCTCCCGTGGGCATTTCTCCATGTCTACCATAAGCTCTCTGGAGGAGGGAATATTTATAACTTTTCTTCCTAGCCTTTCCTATGGTTATCATCTCCTTCTAGTCGAGAAGCTCTCCCTCCTGTCTCAGTGGCTTCTCTCCTGCTGCATGCCCACCCCTGGCTTCCCATGGGTTCCTCCACCGAGGTGGATGGGTACTGGTCAGCACTGTTCTCCTGACATCTGCAGGACAAGCTGCGCTTCTTAACCATGCGTGCGTGCGTGGGGCGTGGACTCAAGCAGTGGGGGGAGGGGCAGAGGGAGAGGGAGACAAGCAGACTGCCCCCTGAGCAGGGGGCCCAACACAGGCCCAGATCCCAGGACCCTGGGATCAGGACCTGGGAGCCGAAATCAAGAGTCAGACACTTAACTGACTGAGCCACCCAGGTGCCCCTCCTGAAGCCGTCTTTTAAAGCCACCTGGGTGCTAATGTTTGGCTGGGGAGAACGATACTAGTAGGAGACTCTTATGATGCCACATTAGACTATTAAAGGGGTTCCAGCTAATGTGAATGATCTGGAAGCCTGGCTGGTGATGGAATACAAGGGTTGTGGGGAGCCTACAATTAGGGACAGTCCTTCTCTTGGTAGGTTTCCTGGCAGTTTCCCCAGCCAAGAGGGGTGTGTCCAAATTGCCATGAGAGTGCCCTGGATTGACAGATTTGCTCTGATCCTTTTTCTTTACCTAGGAGGCTTCTTAGTGTGAGGCCCTACTGAGCTGGTGCCCTCCCACAAGGAACCCCCAGGCCATATTCTTCTAAAAGCATGCCATGCCCTGTTTGGTGGGGCTTCTCTCTGTATGAGAGGGGCTACATCCTCTGAATCTGGAGGAAGACACATCTGGTTATGAATCCCAACGTGGCCACCTACCAGCTATGTGACTTTTGGCATGTGGCTTAACCTCTCCGAGTCCTAGTTTATCTCATCTGTAGGATGGGGTAATGGTAATATCCCCCATTATACCATAATATTATATGAAAATATGATACAAAGTTATTTACTTAAAAGTGTATAATGCTGGGGCGCCTGGTAGAGCGTATGACTCTTGATTTTGAGGTCAAGCCCCACGTTGGGTGTAGAGCTTAAATAGATAAAAGTATCTTTAAAAATATATATTGCCATTATAATGTATTATGTATTATAAATTTGTAGATATGTATTTTTATATATATAAAATATTATATAGCACCATTATAACACTACCTGTATATCATGTACTAACAATATACCGTAACATAATAACCTATCTTATTGTGAGACTTAGATTATGTAGGCAAAGTGTTTAGCATAGTCCCTGGCACATCATGTAACTTAATTGCTGTTAATTATTGTGATCATAATTTTCTGTGGACCCAACATATAAAACAGGGGCCCATTTACTCACAATGTTCTGCTTGCTGTATGTTGTTGCTTTGGAAGCAGTGGAGCTCATCAAATAATTAGGAAAGCAAAGCCCAATTCTAACCTGGGAGAGCAGGGAACAGTATCCAGGGAGATGTTTTGTTAAATTCTAAGTTTTTTTTTTCTCTCAAGGGGGATATGCTTTTTTAGAAGAACTTAGACCAACATGTTACTTAATAGAGAAGTGTATTAAATCTAAATAACCACCCACGTGTTCTGTGTCTTGAGATGTTATTAGCCTGGGTGTTTATTGTTGTCTGTGTGGGTGAGGAGGAGGGTGAGGCAGAAGTAGGGCTGGATATAAAGACACAGCTTTTGGTGAGTTGTCCCAGCTTTTCTGTGTCAGTCCTGTGCCCCTGCTCGAAGGCTGTTCTTGGAGCCAGATATTGGGAGGAGGGGAAGGGGCTCTGTGCTGGCATCTTTGAGAACTTAGCAGTGATAGAACTGGATCTGGAACCGTCATCCCTTCTTGACTCTATGTACCGGGTATCGTTTCTCCTGTTTTGCACAGAGGCAGAATGAAAGCCCAAGAGATGAAGCCTCATGGTCAGGGTTGCACAGCTAGTAAAACACTGTGGGATCTGCGATCAGACAACTGGGATCAGAATCCTGATTTCACCTGTGTGCTGATAGCTGGCACTTCATATCCTTAGGTCTCTGTTTTCTTATCTCTTAAATGGGTACAATGACGAACTCTAGCTCGCAGTGTGGGAGCCAATGATTAACTCTATGAAGTCTTAGCGTGTGCTGTTTTAAGGACTCAATACCTGTTAGCTGTTGCTGTTAGGATAATCACCTTGCGGTTCGCTTACATCTCTTTCATACGGGAGAGCCGATCAAGATTTTTACTCGAGCCTGACTCAAGCCTGTGCAGTGGTCACTTCTGCCCGCATTACTGCTGATTATGGCAGGGAAGTCGAAGTAAAGTTGTGGCTATCCCGTGAAAAACTGACAACTTAGGACCTTTTTGGTACATCAGTGAACCCAAGGTACATCCTGTACCTTTTTGCACATCAGTGAGTAAAACCTCAGGGAAAGTCCAAGATGAACCTTTCTCAGGGATGCTTTTCAGTGAGGTGGTATTTTAAGCAAACATGAGATATGAATTGCCATATTGACAGACACAACATTTTTGGGAGGAGTAATTTATTACTCCGTAGAAACATCATAGACAGTGTCCCTGGTGGTCTGTTGGCAGCTGTCTGGAGTTGCCCAACCAGACTGCTCCTGCTTTCCTTCCCTGTACTGTTTACCCACGTCTGGTGCTGACCCACCAGAACCTGCCTCTGTCACGTGTAAGGATGCTGATTCACGGGGAGATGTTAATCGGTGAGGAAACCGGTTCCGGCTGGCGAGGCAGCGGCTACATGTCCTGTGGACCGTCCCTCTAAAAGTCTGGAGCTCAGGTGCAGCTTGCTCCAGGGAGAGTTCCAGGCTCTGCTGAAGCTGTAAACACCAGCTGATGATGTCCGTTTGGGAATTGCTTGTGTGTGAGAAATAAAGATCAAGATTGGGAGCTCGGTCTGGCTCTTTGATTGCAACCAGGTTGAATTTTAGGTTTGATTTTATTTTTTAAGGGTGGGAGCTTGACGGTTTCTAAGGGGCTCTGGAGCTCTTGTCCTGGGGGACTGGGAAGGAGTTCGGAGTGCCTTTGGCTGCGAAGGATTTTGGGGCTGTAGAAAAGGCCAGCTGCCTCATCGGCCTGGGCCATTTCTCCAGCCATCTCTCTTTCTGATAAAACTACATCAGAAGTCAGTGATTTCCTCTGAGTATTGAGCCCATGAGTGATGAACACGTTGTCTTGTCTTTTCTCCTCTTCTAGGCCCAGGAGGCAGCGGCAAAACAACTTCCCCATGTTCTCCTCCCCTAAAGCCTGGAATTTCAGAGGGGTAAGTGTTTTCCCGGGCATGGTGCCCAGTGTTCTACACCCTATTCTGGCCGCCCAAGAGACGGTGCTCTTGGGGTTGGCTCTACTAATCGGTCTTTGCCAAAGAAGCTGGGTTTTAGCTCTTGGAAAAATCATGTTTGTATCAGCACTTGTGGCTTAATTAAAAAACATCAATTATAAGCGCCCGCTGATGTTCATTTGCCCTGTAGGTCTTGGGCTCCTGGAAGCATCTGATGAAGAAGCCAAGTCAGGGTTGAGGAGGGGGAAGCATTGTGCCTGTTTTCTTGGGAACCTGGAGGGACCCGGTGCACAATGAAGAAAAAAGAAATCAGAAATGTACCATCTGTTGATATATAGATTTATGACTTCATGGGGAGCTTTGTTTTCCAGAAGGAGAAGTCTGTAAGCTCTAAACAGATCTTTAAGGGGAATCATAAAAATCTCCCAATCATAAAGCCATTGACCCTTAGAATTGTATAGTCAGATCTAATCTCTTGATGCAAAGTTCTCTTCCTTAACATAATAATGTTAATAGTAATAATAATAATAATAAAGTATATGGAAGCCCTGCCGTGTGCTAAAATGAATTCTAGCTCTGACCTTAGGAAAAACACAGTTGCGTGTGTAAAGAATGCTCAGAGCTCTGTTTCACCACCCGGCCTTTGCTGAGTTGTTCCTTCTGCCTAGAACACAGCCCCGTCTGTCCAGCACTGTGCTCCTACACACACAGCAACTGGCCCACCCACTTCATCCCTTGGGTCTAAGCCTTGACATCACCTTCCATGGGAAAGCCTTCTGAGCTCAGGCACCTCCTGTGGACCCCGGCACTTCCTTCTCATTGTTGGGATAAGATAGTTAGTGCCTACAGAAATGTAAGATTAGAAGCTCCAAGCATCAGGTGTGTAGAGACCTTGTCATTCTCTCTTGTTCACTGTGCATCCCTGCACCTAGCACCTACATACTTAATTAATTTGTTGAATGAATAAACAAACCTTTCACATCCATCAGACATGAAGTCCACTTCAGACTGTGTTTCACGATCATGTCTTTGGTCTTTACAGCACTGTTTTTTCTAGCTGAGTTCCCCTTTAGTCTCCTACATAGATCTTAGTCATTTTCTCCAAGTGTGTTATTAAAAATAAATATAGATCATGGCTCTGTTTTCACTAAGTTTACAATATGCTTTTCACTGAGTGCAAAGAGAAGTGTGCTGACCTCTTAAATAGACGTGCATGTCTTACTGAAAGTAAGTCATGTGTCTCCTAAGCTGTTTATGGTTTATGGATAATATCCCCATTCCTCCAAGTGTGTTCGGTTGGATGATCATAACCATTATGTGGAAAAAACCTTGTGTGGTCAAATAAACTTGGGGCACACTGAGAGCACCTAATTAAGTATGTTTACTGCTTCGAGACTTCTCAGAGCCTTTGATGTGTTGCTGTGCTTGGAGACTACATTTGAGTTGATGTTGGTGACATTTCCCAAAGTCATTGCTCATTAATCCTTATTGACAAGATAGTTTGTACACACTTTGGAAGAGTTGGCATTTATTGTCAATTTTGAACTGTAGAGAAATTAGACCTTCTGTGAGCAAGTGGGCCTTTTTGGGAAGACATTTATTTTCTCTCCATCTCTGGCCTCCCTTCAGGATACCCTACCCTTCCTTCTGCTTCAGCAGTGGTCACTGGCCAACTCTTGACAGTTTCTAAGGGGCCCTGGAGCTCTTGTCCTGGGGGACTGGGAAGGAGTTCGGAGTGCCTTTGGCTGCGAAGGATTTGGGGGCTGTAGAAAAGGCCAGCTGCCTCATCGGCCTGGGCCATTTCTCCAGCCATCTCTCTTTCTGATAAAACTACATCAGAAGTCGGTGATTTCCTCTGAGTATCGAGCCCATGAGTGACAAACACATTGTCTTGTCTTTTCTCCTCTTCTAGGCCCAGGAGGCAGCGGCAAAACAACTTCTAGGTACATCTAGGGTGACCAACCACCCAAGTTTGCCAGCAATTGTCCTGGTTTTAGCACTGGAAGTCCCAGGCAAACTGGGACAATTGATTACCATACCCATGGTCATAAGACCTCTCCAACTGTTTTCCCTTGAAAAATGTTTTGTGAATTTTTGAGCACAACTCTGTTTTATAGAAATTGCTGCTCAAAGGAACCTGTTAGATGTACACTTGGTTTAAGTGACCCTTTGATAGCTTCATCCGTGCATGGTAACATTTGATATTAGGGAATAGTTAAAATTGTTGGAGTGAGTAGAGTCTGTTAGGTGGTTAGGTCAGATGTGGTGTTTATTTTGGTCCCTTGTCCTTGCTTTGATTTCTCCTGGCCTCTTGGGCTTATTGGTAAAGTTAGACAAACTGACATTAAGATATGCCAGAGGGAGATGGTCTGAGGCTTGATCAATTGCCAGATTGGCCAAATTGATCTCTCTCCCTGTTGGAGCATAATCCTCCCTGACATAGAGGGAGTAGGAGGGAACCCTACCAAGTGGAAACACCCTTACTCCCAGCCAGGCCACGCTTTGTAACCATCATTATGGTAATTGGAATTGAAGAACAAGAAGGCCCAGAATGCCAGGATGAAGACATTTGAGGCATTATCTAGCTAATATATTTTCTGTAATGAAATGTGACTCCCAGGCCTGTTAGACTGAGCTGTGCATGCTGTCCTAGGGCAGGGCATGCTTTTTGTGAATGCTTTATTTTCTTCTTTATTGAGAAAGGAAGGTTTTAGAATCTGTGAGCTAGTAAATTTCCCATATTTATATATGTGGCAGAGGAAACCATTAAAAGCATTCGTAATTCCATTCCTCTTTGGCTTGTAAGGAATAAAGATCCTATGTTAGTTTACTTATATTCTGGGCATTGGTGGATTTTGGGGGGGGATGGAGAGAAGTGGTGGGGGAAGATGGATGGTAAAAGGCGAGAGGACAAGGAACCACATCACTCTAGATGAGAAGCCAAGAGGGACACACGTGAGGGCTCAGGAGGGAGTTGGGGCACAAAGGGAGGAGAGGGAGTGGTTGGCATCTTAATAAGGAGTCTGGAAAAAGAGAGCGATGTTTCAAAATAATTTTAAGGAAAGTCTTTCTGAGTGAGTTGTATTGTAAACCCCTCCTTGTCTTCCCTGGAAACATTCACTGAAGATCTGCATTACTCCTCAAGGCATTAGGAGTAGGCTTTGTGGTTTTCCTTTTTTGGGGGGCTGCAGTTTTTGGCTGTAGAGAGGTTCAGGAAGAGCTGGTGATCCTTGGATGACACTCTTTCTACCTACCAAGCTTGCCTAAAATCACAGCTATAGCCCTTTATAGGAGTTATTAAGTGCAGGTTGGGTCTCTTGATTCCCACTCTTATCTAAGCAGACAGGGGCCCTTGGTGTTACCAACTCTCCTGACTCCGCCACCTTCCTGAACAAGAGGTGGGGTCATGCCTGTCTCTCACCAGACCCATACGTGCTGCACATATGCTTGTGGAAAGAAGCCAAGAGGAGGTTTTGGTTGGAGCAGTTATGGTGGGAACATCATGAGTAAAACCAGAAGAGAATGACAGGAATAAGAAGGTGGGACCCTGCAGTACTGTTACTAAGTGCTTCTGTCAGGTGCTCATTGCACATCTGGTCCCCATCTGGTTGGGGCAGTGCTGAGCTCAGAATTTCCACTCTTCCTTGTGCAAATATTTGCTACAGCTCCTCCGGTTAGCTGAGAGAGAGAGAGAGAGAGAGAGAGAGAGAGAAAGACACTCAGGGAGGAAACTCATTCTAGAAGTGTGGAAATCTCAGGAGCACAACTCCTACCATTGCCTGTTAGTTAACTAGGAAATACTTAGCAAGACCTACTGCTCCATACAAAGCATCATTAAGGTGTTAGAACTGATGTTTCCATTAAATACCAACCAAATTTCATGGCTGTGCTTGTCTTGTCTCTTTCTCCAGTACCTGCTCTTTACTCTTGCCTAGGCCATTTGGGAAGAAATTTCTAGACTCTGAGGCTTTGGAAGAAACTTTGGACATTGTAGCCCCAACCTGTTAATTTTCAGATGTGGAAAACAAGGCCTAATGTATTAGGACTCTTGATTGCAAGTAATAGAAACTCAATTAAAAGTAGCTTGAGTGGAAAGGGAGATTGATTGGCTCATTTGACTGAGAGACACTGAGGTGGGTAGGCTTCAGATACAACAGTATCCAGGGATACTGCCTCTCAGCTTTGTTACTCTTGGGGTATTGGTCTTATCCTGCATACTACATGTGAACTGTTTTGGAGGGAGAGGATGACCACAAACAGCCACTCGTTTCCAGAGGAAAGAGAGAAGCGTTTGATTCCCCAGTCCACATATGAAATCCCAGTGAAGGACTCCGTTTGCCCTGGCTTGGGTCACATAGCTACGCCTTGGCCAATTACTGTCGTCAAGAAGATGGACAAGCCTTGGTCACATGTTCCCTCTGAGGGAGCTAGGTGGACGGGGTTTTGTCAGGGCAGCTCCATGAGAGCTACTTGAGGTAGGGAAGGGTCATTTCCTCCAAGGAAGAGTTTGGTACTGTTACCAAATCTCTCCCGGGTCTCTCCCAAGAGATCAGACCTAGAACCTGGTTTTCAGACAGTGAGTCCTGTGCTTGCTGCATGCTGCCTTGACACATCCCAAGTCCTGTGTTTGGAAGGAGGTACACACACCTCAGGGTCACTGAATGTTTCTTGAAGGTCAGACTGGAATGTTCTAAAATTCACAACTCAGTGGAGTTACGGTCTCTAAGACTCAGTACATACACGGCCAGGCCAGTGTTTATTGTGACCTCACTGTGTCCACCCTGCAACAAAGGGGGCACAACACTCTCTCTCTTGCAGCCTCACTTGGTACATTTACCTCCACTTACAGCGCATCAGCTCCGGGCAAGACCATGACAGTCCTGCATGGTAGATATATTTATTCCCATGTCAAGGATGAGGAAACAGAGCCCCACATGTGCTAGCTTGCCTAAAATCACAGCTGTAGTAAGTAACAGAGCCAG